AATCTGCTGCCGCTTAGTGGAGAAGACCAAATATGACATTCACAGACATTCCTTCACGAGCCTGTTCACAATGAGAAGCTATTTATCTGATATAATACCCTTGTATGTATATAAGAGATTAATATAACGCGATTAGTGTTGGATATATTATTTACATTACAAATCTGTGTACCGTGATGAAATATGATGATATTTTACGACAATTAAATATGTGGTCAAACCATGTAGCAAAGGAAATGTACACAAGGGAAACGACTTCTTTCCTGGAGGGATTTTAATGTATTCGAGAGGCAGCTTCAGTGATTCGAGACTACAGCATATAATCGAGGGATGTTTTAGCGCTGATTGGCTGAGCCTTTCAGCTATGGTGTGAACTATTCTCCGATTGGCCTTTCATCCCTGTCAATCATTGTTGTCGCAGCCCTCTGATAATGCAGCATGGGCGAAAATACCAGACCCAAAAGCTACAGCCGAGGAAGCAGACCGCTCTACTGTTAACGATTTTGGACGATTGAACTGAAAGGTAAATAGTAAACCATCGTCCTTTAGAAAACCGTAATACGGGTTATCATATTTGTCCATTATGAATAAGATTAACACGCTGTCTGGTTGTTGGGTATTGTTAGCCACCTGGACGCTGAGATGCTAACCCACATTGAGGGAGGCTCTCGCCACGTTAAGTTAGCTCGCTGGCTAATTTCCTGCTGCTACTCTAAAGTAAATAGGCAGAAGACGATAAAGCAGGCAGTTAGAAATGACCAATACTTAAACATAGAATCACATAGTTATATATCGAAGTAACGACGAGGGGTTGTCTTAAGACTGTTTAGGTCGAAATTACCATTTAGCTGTGGTCGATGTTAGCAACTTAGCATTTAGGCTATGATGAGTTGACTTCAGCTGGAGTGCTGAGGCTGCCCGGTTAGTGGAGGCAATGACGAACCAGAAGAACTGAAAAGTCAGACAGTTAGGTAGCTAATCACCCCATTCAAAGTGAATGCTGAAGCTTTCAACGCACTCCGCTGTGTGGACGGGCCGTAGGAGCAAAGGGATTTCAGAAGTGACAGCAGTAGCTGTGCTGCCTTCAGGTGCTCGATAAAAAAAAAATCCCTCGTTCGCATTACATCCACGAGTGGGTTAGTGTGATTTGAGGTGCTTAGTGGTTACTATAAATAGTTGTTTCATTTAAACATGAACATGTCCAGCAGCTTTATTCTTGTCAGCAACACTATTGGCATAATGAAATAACTGGACGAAAAAAATACAATAACCGTAATAGTACTGTCTGAATATGTGCAAATGGTGCATCTTAAAACGTGCACATGTGTAATTGAGTTATTTACATGTGCTTTTATCAGTCGTGAGTGACAGGAGCAATTGAAGTAATTACATATTAGTTATCCAGGTGAACTTCTCTATGACCTACATATAACATAATTGAACATGTTGACATCAGTATTAAGTCCATTTTAATTTGCGTTTTGTTTTCATGTGGCAACAATTTTGAAACACATTTTCCTACTATTTGAGAAGTTTGAACCAGCATTCTCGTCGTTGAGTTCATAATCTAATAAAGTATTTGACTAAACATTTTAACTTTAATTACAGTTTTTCAAATGCCGCTGTAACTAAATAGATTTTTGCCATATTATCGCACGGTTCAGAGATTGCAGTTGATTTGAGCTCTATAAAAGTTTCCCTAAAATAAACATTTCGAAACAATTCAGTCAGTCGTGTTGGTCACGTCAAGGCCACTTTGTTGATTTAAATTGTTCTAATCTTTTGTATGTGTTGGTCCTAATATAATGCACTAGTGTGCTTTCAGAAACCTAGAAACAAATATATGTGTTGCTGTTATTTGCCCTGTGATTGCATTACTAATGTATTTCATCCGATTAAAAAATATTGACAACTCCAATGATGTCTCTAAGCATGTCAGTATGAGAAGTGCTTCTTAAATATAAGACAAGCAGGTATATATTTTTATAGCCAGCATATAAGTCATTAGAGGCCACTTGTTTCCATGTTCATATTAAGGAATTGCATCTCATCTGCAGTTGCTTGAAATAGTGTAAGTAGAGAGTATTGAATGAAGAACCCTTGTCAGTATTGTTGGTACATATGGGGCTTTGGCATCATTATTGGTGGCAGTATTCACATGTGGATTAAGTGGTCAGTCCAGGCCACTAGACAGTGCCAAACTATCTGACCAATTTAATGGTGCAGTGTGATGAAACAAAAACATATTCTGCCACCTTATACACCTGTGTTGTGGTCAGTGTATCTGCACTGGCGCCTGGTCTTGCAGTTGCATCGCTGCAGGTAGTCGAGTCCCTGTGGGCTTTGCCGCTTTTTTAGTTGTATCAGTATCACCCGCACGTGAAGGTCAGTGTGCCCTTGTGCATATAATGCATGTTCAGCCCTCCTTCCCTCTTCATGACGTCAATGCCCACTCCGATGAGCACGATGATCGTGATGCTCCATGCCTTTGGTGTTAGTGTCAAACTGTAACATGATGTAATGCTTTCCCTTCTGAAGGAGGATTTGTTGTGTTTGGAGCAGGAGGATACTGAATGCCCCTCGGTCAGCATTAAACATATTTTGCCTGCCTTCTGCCTTTTTAACACTCCAGTAGTCAATCACTGAGCTGTGTCTTGCAGACAGTATTTTGTATTACCCCTGAAATATAAGACGAATGCAAATGTTCTTTGTCATACGATTGATAGTCTCCATGATGAGCAGATATACTGAAGAAAACATGCCAATTGGTGGAAGATAACAATAAAGCATTGATGCAGGCTTTATAAATGGCAGCTAACAGCAACTGTTTACACCTCATGTGCTCTTATTCTTGTGCTCTCTTGCTTGTGCTCTCATGCTTGTGCTCTCATGCTTGTCCTCTCCCTTCCCATACACTCTCCGCCACCCTCCGTACCAACGTCTGCTGTGTTGCATAACTGTGGGGACAGCTGCCAAGTCCCAGCTGGCTTCTCAGATGCATTCAGTCCTTATATTTGTTGTGGAGCTACGTCAGGATATGTGGCCTGGAGAGTGTGTTATTGGGCACTTACGTGATTATCTGAGAGATAAATTCAACATTTATTTGATCAGCTGAAGGTTTACTTAAGGCCCTGTTCAGCTCAAAAGGCCATTAACACTCCCACAATGACAGTTTAAAGTCCCAAAACATTGACAATGTAAAAGACAATCAAGGTGCTTTGATGTAGATCCAATAAGACGTTTGATTGATCCCTATAAGAAATGAGTGTTGTTATTTTTGTTTAGTTTTATGTGGGCCTATTGAAGTGATTTTGTGAACAATTTATGACATCCAACTTTCTCTGCAGTGATGTTCCAACAATGCCGATAGTGGATAAACTCAAAGAGGCGTTAAAGCCTGGTCGAAAGGAGACGGGGGATGAGGGGGACCTCAACAAACTGTTGGCCTCTTCTGCCAAGAAGGTCCTCTTGCAGAAGATCGAGTTTGAGCCTGCCAGCAAGGGTTTCTCATATCAACTGGACAGCCTGAAGAACAAGTATGTTATCCTCAATCCCCGCAACGAGGGCGCTACGGGCCAGAAGGCCTCAGAGCCGGCCTCGATAAAGAGGCAAGGTAAGCTATCCAATTGAACTCTAACATTTAGATAGTTTGACATTTTTTTGGCTATAAAAGTGAACACAAAAGAAAATGACAAGGCATTGACTGCACTTCTTCTCCAGTCTCAGAGAACTCAGGTGGGGGCCAGAGCGACGGGATCTCTGCCCCACAGAAGATGCTCTTTCCAGGGAGTAAGCTCACCCTTAAATGGGAGCGTGTGTACAGGGTGGGAGCCGGTCTCCACAACCTGGGAAACACCTGCTTCCTCAACTCCACAGTGCAGTGTCTCACCTACACCCCGCCACTTGCCAACTACTTACTCTCAAAGGAGCACAGCCGTGCCTGTAAGTCTTTAAGTCATTCTCTTTAATTCTGCCAAACTCCCAGCTTTCCCACCATTATATTTAAGCCCACAAGTTTAATTCTTGCGGTGAAACATTCAGCGGACTATGAATTACTGACTTCAGACTTAATGTTTTGCTATTACAGGTGACTAAGGCATTAACATACCAAACAAAGCTTGTAAAACTTGACCATTTAATGAGCCCATATGTTATGAGGGTCAACCACCTTGATAAAGACCTCACATAACACATTCCTGTACTTTTGTGAGTGACTCTGATTTTCTTTGTTTCTATCTTTGTTGTAGGTCACCAGCCAGGCTTTTGTATGATCTGTATAATGCAGAACCATATCATTCAAGCCTTTGCCAACACAGGCAATGCCATCAAGCCCGTCTCCTTCATCAGAGACCTGAAAAGTAAGTAAACCCCCAGCGTCCGTCAACACCCTGTGATTGTTTCTGAGCTCGCTAGGATCAATGTAGGTCAGGAGTGACACCTGAATTCCTCTTTAAAACTGCTCGAGGCGAGGTGACGCAACACTGGCCACAGCGTCCCATGTGACAGCCAGGCTCTGCAGTGCAGAGCGGTGAGAGAGCCGGCTGTGAATGAACACCATGTAGAGACGAGATGAGGTGTGAGTTGCACCTTGACATGGTGATGTGCTGTGCTGCTGTCTCACAAAAGCCTGCCTCCCTCCCTACCTGCCTGCTACTTCCTTATGTGCTGCTGCAATCATGTCTCCACCTCCTGCGCCTCTTTTTCCACCTCTCCCTCCCCCGTCACCCCCTCCCTCCCCAATGCCCTCTCTGTCTCCTTGTGACTGCAGGCTGAGAGGAGCAGCTTTAGCACAAAAATGTGCAGTCCACCATTTTCACTCCTTTTTAAACAGAACTCTGAGATGTACTCTGTGTCTTCATGGTCTCCCTTTCACATGCATCTAGCTGGTGGCCATCCCTTTACAGCTAGAACAATGTAAATGCATACAGGGACATTTCCACATCTGTGCCCCCTGCTCTGTACGACCCTTCCCCCTCCCCCCCCCAAAAAAAAAATACAAATACAGTGCAATGTCATCATGCTAAAATCAAAAGAGCTTACTGATACTGAATCTCACAGTTACTGCCTCTCAACCTGAATCAAACCATAACCAGCTAATCATATGCCCATATATTCTAGATGTTGTTTCCCCCCCCTCTACGAGCATCGCCCTGAACGGGTCATTAGAGCATGGTGTCTTATTCCTCTTTCCCACTCAGAGGTGACTCAATGCCATAAATGCACAGCGATGCTATGCCAGGAATGCGGTGATGACCACATCGTTCTTAAGGCGCTTTTCCATTAGGAAATAACAGTACATTATCTCTAATGTGAGGCTTTTAGATGAGATGTCAGTCTGCTGAGGTCGTAAGCTGCTTATGAGGTCACGGTCATTTTACTGCATGTCTGAGATGCATAAGGAACTAACCTTTTATTATAGTAACTGTCAGTTGCCAGTAGAGTGTACTCTAAGCTTTACAACATGTTAAATAAATAATCTACATTGATTACTACTCTATAATTTGCTTCACAACTTTGCGTAAATATCGTGAAAAAAAAAATGTAAACAGTTATAGAAATAATGGCCGTCTAGTGGCCATCATTTAAAAAGCAACACAAGTTTGTTTGCGCCTTTTTGCATCCTTTTAATACTGACAGGAAGTTATGAATTACAGCTCATCATTTATTAAGCCCGTTTGTTGTTTTGCAGAAACGTATTTTTAGACTATGTCGGCTGACTTAAAGATTGTTGATGTTTCCTCTAGCTGCTCTGCTGTCCTTTTGGTGTCATCATTTTCTGTGAATTGTATGAAAAATGTAGGCCATACATATTTAAGATTTATGCAATGAACACTTATGTGCACTCGGCTCAGCTTTTATTCAAAGTAAAGCCACGGTTAATCCGCCTAAAGCAGTGGTGATTACTTGCCCGTTAAAGATATTGCAACATCTACTCTAAATTCTCCCTTTTCAGGAAGTGATGTGGCTAAAACTTGATTAATTGTCCTCATTTTGTTAATGCATTCAGGGTTGGGAAACTTTAATTAGCACAAAGCTTACATTTTCTTTTGTCTCCCACAGAAATTGCCAGACATTTTCGCTTTGGAAGCCAAGAGGATGCTCACGAATTTTTGCGGTACACCATCGACGCCATGCAGAAAGCCTGTCTCAATGGCTACCCCAAGTAAGGCTTTACAATGATTTCTTTAAAGTGTTACAAGTGTGTATGTTTTACTGGGCCTCTTAGTGAAGCTAGACCCGGTAGCAAAGCTCACTGTCGAGTTCTGACCAGTTTCTCTTCCTGTCTTTAGGCTCGACAGGCAGACCCAGGCCACAACCCTGGTCCACCAGATCTTTGGAGGTTACCTCAGATCAAGAGGTATTGGCTTTTTTTTCGAAGAAAGAAAGGCAACAAATATCGCCTATAGAACTGTTTACTCATTATTAATTTGACATTTGATTCTTCTGTTTTGTGTATTGATTCATTACCCAGCTGACTAAAGACATGTCAACTAAATCTATAATGCTAAAACCGCTTGATGTAGTTCAATTCCCTTTTATGCTGAGTTGACACATGCTGATCCAAAGTCAAAGGCAGACTGTGGTTTGTACGAAAAACTTAAAGATGTTTTTTAACAATATTAACACACCCATATTACTAAACCAAACAATTGGTGGTTAATAAAAGTTATTAAGATTTTTTTTTTTTGTTGTAACTACTGACGGAGCAAAATAAGATTACAAGTATTCTTACTTTTTTAAAGAAATCACATCAGCAACATATTAAATAGACTGACTTAATGTGTAGTTACACTTTCAAAGAATGCTGTTTGCATAAGGACTAGTATATTTCCTTTCATAGTTTGCATTTGAAATGTTAAAGTATAAGTTAAGCAGCATGTCTCTCAACTCTCCAATTTTCAGATATTCAATATTTTTTATATTTTCAGTTTATACATTAGTTTGTAAAATATGGAAATGTATCAGCAATTAGGCAGCAACATGTTAAATTGTAGGATATACAGTACTTGAAATGTAAATATTAGTGAAATATTAATATTATTAACATCGATTTCTTCTGAACCGACCCTAATAGTCACATTTTGTTTTTTAATTGTCTTTCAGTGAAATGCTCTATTTGTAAAAGTGTGTCCGACACGTATGACCCTTACCTGGACATCGCTGTAGAGATTCGGGTATGGTAAACAAGATATTATTATTTAACCTTTTATTTCCACGGAAATTATTTCTTAATTGTATAAACTTCACTCTTTAACACCGTGTATCTCTGTGGGTTATTTCTTTCAGCAAGCAGCAAACATTGTTCGTGCCCTTGAACTGTTTGTTAAACCAGACGTACTATGTGGAGAGAATGCCTACATGTGTGCCAAGTAAGTGCCCTTATGGATTCTGCAGAAGTTAGTAAAACGATATCATTTATCATATAACCTTTCTGAGTCATGACTTTCATTGTTTCTCTCCAGGTGCAAAAAGAAGGTTCCGGCGACCAAGCGCTTCACAATCCATCGACCATCTAACGTGCTGACCGTTTCTCTGAAGAGGTTTGCCAACTTCAGCGGCGGGAAAATAACAAAGGTGCATTTTCACACTATTGGCTGTTTTCAAAATGGCTGTTTTTAATTTCTCAGTGATCTCATATTTCAGTTTTGTTTTCCCCTCCCAGGATGTTGGGTACCCAGAGTTCCTGAACATCCGCCCCTACATGTCTCAGAGCTCAGGCGACCCTGTGATGTACGGCCTCTACGCGGTGCTGGTGCACTCCGGCTACAGTTGTCACGCTGGCCACTATTACTGCTATGTCAAGGTGAGCTGGGCAGAGGCACAATCTTTAAACAAAATAAATAAATAAAAGATAGTCCAGACCTGAGGATGATTTAAAAAAAATAAAAATAAAAAATAACGAAATGAACACAATAAAGGCAAACTGTCTTAAAAGAGTCTTTTTAAGTATCAAATTAAACATCTTACCCATCAAATTACTAAAAATGTTCTAACATCATACCGGAAGGAATGATACAAAAACATATAGGCTAAAGCATAGAAGTAGTAAGTAGCTACATTTAATTTCTAAGTATTAAAAACTCTTATTTTTTTTGTAACTGGTTTGAATTACACTTATCAGCAGTAACATTAACTTGTTACATAAGCATTTGTTTCCAATATTGTATGACTTCAGTTGCATAACTTTGTACATAAACCTATACCCTTATTTATTCTAGCTCAAAAGAATCTTCTATCATGGTATATGTTGTTTTTTATATCATATATGTGACCTGCTCCATCGAAATCAGTCGCATTGACCCAAAGACACATTTTGAGTTGTATACACTGTTGGAAAGAGGAGATTCCTAGCTTTCTAATGATATCAGGATTTGTTTTCTCCAAATATGAAGCGAAATATGTCACATTATATAATGACCGTCACCGAGTCATCATTTTGAGAAAAGGGCTTCAAAGTTTCCTCTTCTCTGGAATCCATCGATCTGATTGGTTATTAGCAAATGATCAAAGTAGTACGGAGGGAAGATATTTTTGTTTGGATTACTGGTCTGGGGGAAGCTCGCGAGTGTGTGTGTGTGTTTTTCCGTTTATGTGTGCTTCAAAGTTGTATTTATCATCTGAATTTGCCGAAACAAGTTTAATATTCTGAAAGCCAAGACTT